AACTATCCTAAATATACATGCACCCCATAGAGGACCACCCACATTCATAAAGCAACTTATTAGAGACCTACAGACTTAGACTGCCACACAAAAATAGTGGGAGACTTTGACACCCCACTGTCGATATTAGATCAATGAGATAGAAAATTAACAAGGATATTCAGGACTTGAGCTCAAGTCTGGACCAAGCAGACTTAATAGACATCTATAGAAATCTCCACCCCAAATCAACAAAATACAAATTCTTCTCAGCACCACATCACACTTATTCTAAAATTGACTTCATAACTGGAAGTAAAACACCCCTCAGCAAATGAAAAAGAACAGAAATCATAACAAACAGTCTCTTAGACCACAGTGCAATCAAATTAGAACTCAGTATTAAGAAACTCACTCATAACTCCACAACAACATGGATACTGAACAACCTGCTCCTGAATGACTACTGGGTAAATAACAAAATTCAGGTAGAAATAAATAAGTTCTTTGAAATCAATGAGAACAAAGACACAATGTAACAGAATCTCTGAGACACAGCTAAAGCAGAGTTGAGAGGGAAATTTGCAGCACTAAATGCCCACAGGAGAAAGCAGGAAAGATCTAAAATCAACACCCTAACATCACAATTAAAAGAACTAGAGAAGCAAGAGCAAAGAAATTCAAAAGCTAGCAGAAAACAAGAAATAACAAAGATCAGAGCAGAACTGGAGAAGATAGAGACACAAAAAACCCTTCAAAAAAATCAATGAATCCAGCAGGTGGTTTTTTGAAAAAATTAACAAAATAGACCATTAGCCAGAATAATAAAGAAGAAAAGAGAGAAGAATCAAATAGACACAATAAAAAATGATCCCACAGAAAGACAACTACCATCAAAGAATACTATAAACACCTCTATGGAAATAAACTAGAAAATCTAGAAGAAATGGATAAATTCCTGGACACATACACCCTCCCAAGACTAAACCAGGAAGAAGTCAAATCCCTGAATAGACCAATAGCAAGTTCTGAAATTGAGGCAGTAATTAATAGCCTACCACCTAAAAAAAGCCCAGGACCAGATGGATTCACAGCCAAATTCTACCAGAGATACAAAGAGGAGCTGGTACCATTCCTTCTGTAACTATTGCAAACAACAGAAAAAGGGGCACTCCTCCCTAACTCATTTTATGAGGCCAGCATCATCCTGATACCAAAACCTGGCAGAGACAGAACAAAAATGGAAAATTTCAGGACAATATCTCTGATGAGCATCCATGCGAAAATCCTCAATAAAATACTAACAAACCGAATCCAGCAGCATATCCAAAAGCTTATCCATAACAATCAAGTCAGCTTCATCCTTGGGATTCAAGGCTGGTTCAACATATGCAAATCAATAAACATAATCCATCACATAAACAGAACCAACAATAGACATGATTATCTCAATCGAAGCAGAAAAGGCCTTCAATAAAATCCAACAACCCTTCATGCTAGAAACTCTCAATAAATTAGGTATTGATGGAACGTATCTCAAAATAATAAGAGCTATTTATGACAAATCCACAGCCCATATCATACTGAATGGACAAAAGCTGGAAGCATTCCCTTTGAAAACCGGCACAAGACAGAGATGCCCTCTCTCACTACTCCTATTCAACATAGTATTGGAAGTCTGTCCAAGGAAATCAGTCAAGAGAAAGAAACAAAGCGTATTCAAATAGGAAGAGAGGAAGTCAAATTGTCTATGTTTGCAAATGACATGATTGTATATTTAGAACACCCCATCTTCTCAGCCCAAAATCTCCTTAAGCTGATAAACTTCAGCAACATCTCAGGATACAAAATCAATGTGCAAAAATGGAAAGAATTCCCATAAGAGCCAAATCATGGGTGAACTTGCATTCACAATTGCTACAAAGAGAATAAAATACCTAAGAATGTAACTTAAAGGAATGTGAAGGACCTTTTCAAGGACAACTACAAATCACTGCTCAAGGAAATAAGAGAGGACACAAACAAATGGAAAATCATTCCATCCTCATGGATAGGAAGAATCAGTATCATGAAAATGGCTGTACTGCCCAAAGTAATTTATAGATTCAATGCTATTCCCATCAAGCTACCATTGACTTGCTTCACAGATACAGAAAAAAACTACTTTAAATTTCATATGGAACCAAAAAGGAGACCATATAGCCAAGAAAATCCTAAGCAAAGAGAACAAAGCTGGAGGCATCCTGCTACCTGACTTCAAACTATACTACAAGGCTCCAGTAACCAAAACAGCAGGGTACTGGTACCAAAATGGATATATAGACCAATGGAACAGAACAGAGGTCTTAGCCATAATGCCATACATCTATAACCATCTGATCTTTGACTTGAGAAAAACAAGCAATAAAGGATTACCTATTCAATGAATGGTGTTGAGAAAACTGGCTAGGAATATGCAGAAAATTGAAACTGTACTCCTTCCTTACACCTTACACAAAAATTAACTCTAGATGGATTAAAGACTTAAACATAAGACCTAAAACCATAAAAACCCTAGAAGAAAACCTAGGCAATACCATTCAGGATATAGGCTTGGGCAAAGACTGAATGACTAAATCACCAAAAGCAATGGTAACAAAATCCAAAATTGGCAAATGGGATCTAATTCAACTAAAGGGCTTCTGCACAGCAAAAGAAACTATCATCAGAGTGAACAGGTAACCTACAGAATGGGAGAAAATTTCTGCAATCCATCCACCTGACAAAGTAGTAATATCCAGAATCTACAAAGAACTTAAACAAATTTACAAGAAAAAAAACATCAAAAAGTGGGTGAAGGTTATGAACAGACACTACTCCCATGAAGGCATTTATGTGGCCAGCAAACATATGAAAAAAAGTTCATCATCAGTGGTCATTAGAGAAGTCTTTCACCAGTTAGAACGGCGATCATTAAAAAGTCAGGAAGCAACAGATTCTGGAGAAGATGTGGATGAACAGGAATGCTTTTACACTGTTGGTGGGAGTGTAAATTAGTTCAACCATTATGGAAAACACTGTCATGATTCCTCAAGGAACTTGAACCAGAAATACCATTTGACCCAGAAATCCCATTACTGGGTATATACCCAAAGGATTATAAAACATTCTACTATAAAGTCACATGCACATGTATGTTTATGGTAGCACTGTTCACCATAGCAAAGACTTGGGACCAACCCATCAATGATAGACTGGATAAAGAAAATGTGATACATATATACCATGGAATACTATGCAGCCACAAAAAGGAATGAGTTCATATCCTTTGCAGGGACATGGATGAAGCTGCAAACCATCATTCTCAGCAAACTAACACAGGAACAGGAAACAAACCCTTCTATGTTCTCACTCATAATTGGGAGGTGAACAATGAGAACACATGGACACAGGGAGGGGAACATCACACACTGGTCTGTCAGGGGGTTGGGAGCTAGGGGAGGGATAGCATTAGTAGAAATACTTAACATAGATGACGGGTTGATGGGTGCAGCAAACCACCATGGCACGTGTATACCTACATAACAAACCTGCACATTCTGCACATGTATCCCCAAACTTTTAAAAAAGTATAATTTTTTTAAAAAGTAAAATTTTCATTAAATAAAAATAGTTCTGATGACAAGAAGGGGGAAAAATAATTAGAAAACCACTGCACTAAAGCTCCTTCTCCAAAGATAAACTTCCTTAAAAGCTTTTCAGCATGATTTGTGGACAAATCTCAGAAGACTGTCTCAAGTAATGATTAAGATAATAGCCTTTGCATCAAATAAATATTTATTTTCTAATCCTGGCTCTGCTGTAATTGAATTTAGACAAGTTTCTTAACCCTCTAGACAGTTCAGTTTCCTAATCTGCTGAATTAGTGTCTACCTCACAGGGTTGTTGTATGGATTAAACAGCATGCGGCATATAAAAGTGTTTCACACCAGTATTTGGCACATGGCAAATGTGCAATAAATGCTTCCTTCTTTTATTATCATTCTCATGCTCATCATCTATGGCATAAAGAAATGTTTATTATGTTAATCTTAGGTCTTATGTGGAACAACTTTTCCCCAGATGGCAATATTTGGTAAGAATTTGCCTTTGAGGTCTGATTTCACCATTTTTTCCACTTCCTCAAGGGGGCCTCTGATAAATGCAGTCCAGAAACTGGCCAAGCAAGGGTAACAAAGAGTAAGACATAAGCAATAGACTGAAAAAGGAATAGATTGGGAATAGGAGAGGAATAAGCTTTTCTGGGAGCCTATGTAGCAGGGAGGCATAAAATAAGACAATGAGATAGCAGATTATTTTTAATGGACATGTAAAACTAGACTGGAATTAAAGTCCTGCAAAATTTACCTAGAATGAGCAAATAACTGGAAATTCCTTAGTCTTTCTCATTGTAAAGAATATATTTATTGATAATGAAATATTAATTAAAATGTGTACATGTAAGTTTATTTCCGGTGCCGATTATGATGGTATGTTGGAAACAGTATAAAAGTTTAACTGTAGAATTTATTAAATTATTTTTCACATTTATAGAAAGAGTAATATACACACATTTCTTAATATAAAATAGTGTTCAGTATGTAACTTATTAAAGAAAAAAGCCAGATTACATAAGTGTCTGTATTATACATTCACTTCTATTTATAAGTTTATACATATATACTTAAAAATAGTGTAGATGGATACACAATAAATATTTAAAGGCTGTGGGATTATGAATGTTGCTTCCTCTAACATTTACATATACCTATGTTCTAGTTTCTCTAAAATAATTTGTATTAATTGTGTCATGAATATTTTTATTAACAGTTAACATTTATTGAGTGTCTAATGTGTGCCAGACACTGTATATATATATCTTTTATTCCTCACAGTCACCCTAATAAGTAGGTATTATCTATTCTCCCACCCCCTCCCCCTGCATTATACAGATGATGAAATAGACGCTCATTGTGACTTGAGCAAGAGTATGGCTAGTATGATTGGAAACCATCCAAGGAGTGAAGGCCAGCCTCTACGTGGCCATGAATGGTGAAGGCTATCTCTACAGTTCAGATGTTTTCACTCCAGAATGCAAATTTAAGGAATCTGTGTTTGAAAACTACTATGTGATCTATTCTTCCACACTGTACCGCCAGCAAGAATCAGGCCGAGCATGGTTTCTGGGACTCAATAAAGAAGGTCAAATTATGAAGGGAAACAGAGTGAAGAAAACCAAGCCCTCATCACATTTCGTACCGAAACTTATTGAAGTGTGTATGTACAGAGAACCATCACTACACGAAATTGGAGAAAAACAAGGGCGTTCAAGGAAAAGTTCTGGAACACCAACCATGAATGGAGGCAAAGTCGTGAATCAAGATTCAACATAGCTGAGAACTCTTCCCTTCTTCCCTCTCTCATCCCTTCCCCTTTTCTTCCCTCCCATTTACCCATTTCCTTCCAGTAAATCCACCCAAAGGAGAGGAAAATAAAATGACAATGCAAGACCTAGAGGCTAAGATTCTGCACTCAAAATCTTTCTTTGTGTAGGACAAGAAAATTGAACCAAAGCTTGCTTGTTGCAATGTGGTAGAAAATACAAATGCACAAAGATTAGCACACTTAAAAACACAGGAAAAAATGAATCAGGACTCCACAAACATTAAATTAAACTGTATTGTTATGAGTAGAGAGCTAACTGTAATTAAGACATCAATAAAGATGAAATAAAGTTATTACTTTAAAGGAAAAAAAAATAAAATAAAATAAAATTATACCTTTGGTTCTGGGGTACATGTGGAGAACTTGCAGGATTGTTACATAGATATACACATGCCATGGTGGTTTGCTGCCTCCATCCCCCCATCACCTACTTTAGATATCTCTCCCAATGTTATCGCTCCCTAATTTCCCCACTCCCCACTATCCCTCCACTAGCCCTTCACCCCACAACAGACCCCAGCGTGCGATGTTCCCCTCCCTGTGTCTATGTGTTCTCATTGTTCAACACCCGCCTATGAGTGAGAACATGTGGTGTTTGGTTTTCTGTTCTTGTGTCAATTTGCTGAGAATGATGGTCTCCAGATTCATCCATGTCCCTGCAAAAAACGTGGATTCATCATTTTTTATGGCTGCATAGTATTCTGTGGTGTATATGCCCCACATTTTCTTTATCCAGTCTATCATTGATGGGCATTTGGATTGGTTCCATGTCTTTGCTACTGCAAACAGTTCCACAATGAACATACATGTGCATGTGGCTTTATAATACAATGATTTATAATCCTTTGTGTATATACCCAATAATGGGATTTCTGGGTCAAATGGTATTTGCAGTTCTAGATCCTTGAGGAATCGCCACATTGTCTTCCATATTGTTTGAACTAATTTACACTCCCGCCAAAAGTGTAAAAGCGTTCCTATTTCTCCACATTATCTTCAGCAGCTGTTGTCTCCAGACTTTTTAATGATCACCATTCTAACTAGCATGAAATGGTATCTAAATGTGGTTTTGATTTGCATTTCTCTAATGATCATTGTTGGTGAGCATTTTTTCATATGTTTCTTGGCTGCAAATATGTCTTCTTTTGAACAGTGTCTGTTCATATCCTTCATCCACTTTTTGATGGGGTTGTTTGTTTTTTTCTTGTAAATTTGCTTAAGTTCTTTGTAGATTCTGGATATTAACCCTTTGTCAGATGTGTAGCTTGCAAAATTTTTTTTCCCATCCTGTTAGTTACTGGTCCATTCTAATGATTGTTTCTTTTGCTGTGCAGAACCTCTTAGGTTTAATTAAATACCATTTGTCTATTTTGGCTTTTGTTGCCATCACTTTTGGTGTTTTAGTCATGAAGTCCTTTGCTATCCAAACCACATGATTATCTCAATAGATGAAGAGAAGGCCTTAGACAAAATTCAGTAGCCCTTTATGCTAAAAGCTCTAAATAAACTAGATATTGACAGAATGTATCTCAAAATAATAAAAACTATTTATGACAAACCCACAGCCAATATCATACTGAATGGGCAAAAACTGGGAGCATTTCCTTTGAAACCTGGCACTAGACAAGGATGCCTTTCTCACCATTCCTATTCAATATAGTATTGGAAGTTCTAGTCAGAGCAATCAGGCAAGAAATAGAAATAAAGTGTATTCAATTAGTAAGTGAGGAAGTCAAATTGTATCTATTTGTAGATGACATGATTGTATATTTAGAAGACCCCTGTCGTCTCAGCAAAATATCTCCTTAAACTGATAAGTAACTTCAGCAAAGTCTCAGGATACAAAATCAGCATGCAAACATCACAAGCATTCCTATACAGCAATAACAGACTAACACAGAGCCAAATAAAGAGCAAACTCCCATTCAAAATTGCTACAAAGAGAATAAAATACCTAGGAATACAACTAACAAAGAATGTAAAGGACCTCTTCAAGAAGAACTACAAACTACTGCTCAAGGAAATAAGAGAGGAAACAAACAGATGGAAAAACATTTCATGCTCATAGTTAGGAAGAATCAATATTGTGAAAGTGGCCATACTGCCCAAGGTAATTTATAGATTCAGTGCTATCCCCATCAAGCTACCATTGACCTTCACAGAACTGGAAAAAAACACCTTAAACTTTATATGGAACCAAAATAGAGCTGGCATAGCCAAGACAATCCTAAGCACACAGAACAAAGCTGTAGGCATCATGCCACCTGACTTTAAACTATACTACAAGGCTACAGTAATCAAAACAGCATGGTACTGGTACCAAAACAGAGAGATATAGACAAGTGGAACAGACCAGAGGCCACAGAGGCAATGCCAAACATCTACAAGCATCTGATATTTGACAAACCTGACAAAAACAAGCAATGGGGAACAGATTCTCTGTTTAGCAAATGGTGTTGGGAAAACTGGCTAGCCATGTGCAGAAAGCAGAAACTGGACCCCTTCCTGACACCTTACACTAAACGTCATCCTCAGCAAACTGACACAAGAACAGAAAATGAAACACCACATATTCTCACTCATAGGTGGGGGATGAAAAATGAGAACACAAGGACACAGAAAGGGGAGTACTAAACACTGGGGTCTATTGGGGGGAAAAGGGGAGGGCCAGTGGGAGGGGGAGGTGGGGAGGGATAGCCTGGGGAGAAATGCCAAATGTGGGTGAAGGGGAGAAGGAAAGAAAAGCACACTGCCATGTGTGTTCCTACGCAACTGTCTTACATGCTCTGCTCATGTACCCCAAAACCTAAAATCCAATAAAAAATTTAAAAAAAAAATAATATATAACCATCCCTAAAAGTAAAAAAAAAAAAAAAAAAAATTAACTCCAGATGGATTAAAGACTTAAACATAAGACCTGGCACCATAAAAACCCTAGAAGAAAATCTAGGCAAAACCATTCAGGACAAGGACTTCATGACCAAAACACCAAAAGCATTGGCAGCAAAAGCCAAAATAGACAAATGGGATCTAATTAAACTCCAGAGCTTCTGTACAGCAAAAGAAACCATCCTTAGAGTGAAACAGCAACCAACAGAATGGGAAAACATTTTTGCAATCTACCCATCTGACAAATGGCTAATATCCACAATCTACAAAGAACTAAAACAAGAAAAAAAAAAAAACATTCAAAAGTGGGCAAAGGATATGAACAGACCCTTTTCAAAAGAAGACATACATGAGGCCAACAAATGTGAAAAAAATGCTCATCATCACTGGTCATTAGAAAAATGCAAATCAAAACCACATTGAGATACCATCTCATGCCAGTTAGAATGATGATCATTAAAAAGTCAGGAGACAACAGATGTTGGAGAGGATGCAGACAAATCGGTACACTTTTACACTGTTGGTTAGAGTGTAAATATGTTCAACCATTGTTGGAGACAGTGTGGTGATTCCTCAAAGATCTAGAAATAAAAATTCCATTGACCCAGCAATCCCATTACTGGGTATATACCCAAAGGATTATAAATTGTTCTATTATAAAGACACATGCACATGTATGTTCATTACAGCACTGTTTATAAGAGCAAAGACCTGGAACCAACCCAAATCCCCATCAATGAGAGACTGGACAAGGAAAATGTGGCACATATATACCATAGAATACTATGCAGCCATGAAAACGATGAGTTTGTGTCTATTGTAGGGACATGGATCAATCTGGAAACCATCATTCTCAGCAAACTGACAAAAGAACAAAATATCAAACACCGCATGTTCTCACTCATAGACGAGTGGTGAACAATGGGAAAACATTGACACAGGGAGGAGAACATCACACACTAGGGTCTGTTGAGGGGGGTTAGGGGAGGGACAGTGGGGTGTAGTGAGGTTGTGGAGGGATAACGTGGGGAGAAATGCCAGATATAGGTGACAGGGTGATGGAGCCTTGCCACGTATGTACCTATGCAAAATCCTGCATGATCTGCATATGTACCCCAGAACCTAAAGTACAAACAAACAAACAAACAAACAAAAACAACCCACCACCACAGATGAAAAAGGAATGCTTATACACTGCTGCTGGGCATGTAAATTAGTATAATATCTGTGGAAAACAGTATGGCAACTTCTCAATGAAAAGTAGATCTACCATTCAATCTAGCAATTTCACTACTGGGTATCTACCCAGAGGAAAGAAGTCTCTGTATCAAAAGACACCTGCACACATACGTTTATTGCAGTACAATTGCAAATATATGGAACTCACCTAAGTTCTCCCCAGTGAATGGATGGGTACAAAAATGTGGTATGTACCTACCATGGAATACTACTCAGCCATAAAAAAAGAAGAAAATAATGTATCTTGCAGCAACTTGTATGATACTGGAATCTATTATCTGAAGCACAGAAAGTTAGTAACAGAAAAGCAAATATTGCATCTTCTTGAAGCCATGGGTATTCAAAGGCATACAGAGTGGTATTATGGACATTGGAGACTCATAAGGAGGGAGAGTGGGGTGGTAAGTGATGAAAATCTACCTGTGTGGTACAATGTCCTCTATTTAGTTTAATCCTGGATTTGACCACTGCACAATTCATCCATGTAACTAACATCCACTTGTATCCCTATAGCTATTGAGATGAAAAGAAGAATTTTAATGGTGTCTGATTTCTGGCTCAGTTGAATGAATGCTGATGCCACCAACCAAAATATGGAATCTGAGTGGAGATGTATAAACCAAAAGGCTTATGATGATAATTTCTGCTTAATTGTATAGATCATGTGAGATATCCATAAGATATCCTGGAGTTATCTATAAGGTATCCAGGTGTAGGCATTCCAAGTAAGTGTAAACATATAAGTAATATCATGGGTAATATTTTTAACCATGGAATCATTAAATCTCTTCAAAATAGGATATCAAGCAAAGAGTATTAGACCAACGACCTAAAGCTGAGAAGAACTATCCTTAAGAATTAGGAAGAGGGGATACATTCAGAGGACAACAGGAAGTAATGGTCAAAGAGATAGAAGGATTTCCACAAAAAGTTTGTTTCCATAGAAGGAAGCAATAGAAAAAGAAAGCAATCAATGGTATGAAATAAACAGAGGGGCCAAGTAAGAACAATATAGTACTGGTTATTTAAGTTAGGAATATAAAAGTGAAGATGAATACACCAGGAAGTTTGAGGAAAGGACAGGCCAAGGATATAAACTTGAGATTCATGAGAGAAATGGGAGTTGAAACTGTGAAAGTAAATGTGATCACCCAAAGATAATGTATACAAGGAGA